TCTGCAGATTTCTGCAGTTTTTTTTTTTGAAAAATTTTAGTTACCATTTAATTTCCTAGGAAACATACTATACACAGCTTCTTTTTCGAGTATCCTACTTTCAGTGGACAGAAGAGTCTTGGCGTGGTTTGGACGAGAAATCCAACGAACGTGCATATGTAGCCTGCAGTTTCCATATCGCCAATCCAGGCAACTGGGTCTTCACTCCGTTCATTCCGAGGGAATCGGCTAATATGTGAGTAGTCAGTGTTTCTTGTTGATGTCTGCACAGTGTTTGCATAGTTTCACGTTCCGAGCGAAGACCACTCCATTTCCTGTATTTGATATTTTTAGACTGTACATTAACGTGCTTTACAACACGCGATCTTGTGATCAGTACCATGACCCAAAATCGTGTAAAGAGACATTCAATCTCTACGTTAAGCAGTATGAACAGAAGGTGAACGACGTGGATAAAGAGACGTTCAATAAGACGATCTCCACATGGTTTGTTACTTGACGAAAAAGTTTCGCGAAGTCGGTACCTCCGAATTTTGCTATTCGAGGTCTTCCGTCTCCGTTCTCACCAAGGACACAAGTGCGGTGATCTCAGAAACTACTCAGTCGGTAGCTTTACTACCCTCAACCAAATACGTTCGTTTCGGATTTGAGGAGAACGGTGTCTGTGTGTCACTGCTTACCATAACTGTGAGTGTTTTTGATGTTAGTCGCGGAATGACGTTGTTATTGGTAATTACATATATTTCGATATGTTATTCACCTCCCACGTATATCGAGCAGACAACAAACGTCATTATGACATGAGTGTTCCTAATCGGCTTGAATTGTTCCTTGACTGCTCATATCTTGCGCCGCATCGCGCGCTCGGATCATGACATCCATGAGGTCGACATCCCTCGAACTGTTCGTTATCTCTGTAGTGCTGCTCTTGTTAGTGTACCGTAACAGGAATTTAGCTTTGCTGCAACGTAATGGTGATCTGCAGAATCATTTTGTTTTGAAGTCTGAGGTTGGAGACAGTGTCAAACTCCTAGCCAAACAATTATTCACATAAAATGAGGATCTCATCATTGAATACATCTATAGATTGAAAACACAATACTCAACTTGCAACGCACTTACCCTAAAGCTCCTGTTTGAATATCACTGATAACAAGGCATAGGTGTTGTGATAAGCTGCATGCTGCAGCCAAGGTAAGTATCTGGAATTGGGGTGCCAATTATCCACCATATCGTTCCTAAACTGCCCAACCGCCGCTGCAGCGAGATTAGCGCAGATTTTGGCCTCATTGTTTTCTTAAGAAATTTGCACTTCGTCTCAAGAGTCTAGAGTAGTGCTCGTGAGACTTCTTCCCACTTTTGGTGTTGATGAATGTTTGAAAAGATCGATATGAAAAAAGTTGAAGAAAATTTATTAAAATTTAATAACTACAAGAATTTACAGGGAATATCCGTTGTTTCTATCATTTTTGAAAGTAAACTTGCAGTAGTGAGCACATTTGCATTCGAGGTCACATCTCGCTTTCATTGCTGTTTGATGGAGGATGTTTCATTTTGCACGCGCAATTTCCATGTACGCGTTCTCTAATGAAATTACGCGTTAGGACTCCCGAAGACAGATGGGATATGGGGAGTTAGGATTAGATATATTGAAAATGAAATAAGGATGTTACTCTAATACAATATCATCTATTACTTTGTCACACTTATTCAAATTATGAACGCTTGTTCTAACTTTTACAGCATAAATGTATGCAGGCATAGACTAGCAACGTGTTTGATCATATTCAGTAGTGGAGATCTTCGTAATCTTGTAGCAGGTGCTTTTCGCCACGCAGGCAGTCCCGTTATATTGTGTTTGCCCACCAGGCAGCCTATCGGTTAGAAAGAAGAAGGAATATTGTCTTGTTTTGTTGACCTGTATTCCTGCAGTTGTGTTGGTGTCGAGTATTCTATTCATTAGTGGGGTCATTTAACACCTCTGAGTGGACGCATACGATGAGCCGTGGCGGATGTTTGCCCAAGGCTTTGCCCTAGACATAAAGGGTCACAGCAATTGTCACTCGGCCGAGAGGCGCGATGTCAAATCTCGCTTAGAAATGCAGTTGCATGCATAGACATGCTGCGTGAACACATTGCGTAACGTTTCCCAGGTGAAAGTGACAACAATCACCTGCTGTTAGGGCATGTTTGACTGTATACATTGCAAGACTTAGCGATGATGGGTCACGTAGCGATCAACTTGAAGTCGTGCTGATGCATTCGAAGAAACGCACAAAAATGCGCAATATCTCTCAGTAGTGATCTACCTGCATTAAATTCTAGGCTGGAGATTGCAAAAAATGTCAGACAGCATACTGTCTGTTAGCATTGTGATAAAGTAATCCTTAGCAGGATTCATTTTGATTGTACAATGAAATGTAGAGGTTCTGCTATATTTGTGACTTAATTATCGCGGAGTATCTGAATCACGCAGGCCACTCCAATGAGTTTTTTACAATTCCCTCTAAAATTTTATGAAAGCTTGAGCGTGGAATTATTAGTTGGCTTAAATTTTGCTAAGAACAGAGTTTCGTGCGCATTGATAAATTGCTAGTTTCGAAAGCTGTTCAGTTTGACTGCTTAACATATCAAGGGGTGTAATCTCATGTCGTTGTCGTAGATGTATGCGTGAGTACAATGTCGCATTTTGGCAAATGTTGTCCTCAGGACCAAAAACGAGATTCGAATGCATATTTACGAGCAGGTCGCCTATTGTAACACGCACAACATACATGCATCAAACAATTAGAACGGTAATGAATACCGAATGGGTTCAGCACAGCGGTAAAAGAGGATTAGTAGGCCGCCAACGAAGGCAAGGTCGAGTATGGCAACGATTTGAAGATCACCAAAAGACGAAGCGATTGTGAGCGAACAGCCAAAATCTGAAGCGTTTTGGAATGGAGTCGTTCCAAAGTTACTATACGGGAAAACATGCTGAATTATTCATAAATTGGTTTTTGCGTCCAGCGCAGTTAAAGGAAACAATAGGATTGCGCGACACAACCCCTGTTTTCATTGTTGCGATCGGCGGGAAGCCGAACGGATCTAGCAAACTTCAACCTTATACCTAGAGTTCATTGAAAAAGGTCTAGACAGGACTTATGGGCATGAAAACTCCTTTTTGAAAATGAGGGAAGAAGAAATGAGCATTTAGCGAGCTTTTTTTTTAATTTGTGAGGATCGTGGTAGTTGTAATGATGTGGTGCTCTTAAGATGTGGTACAATCACATCGTCTCTACCGTATCTGATCCTCTTGAAACTACGTTCTTTTAGACATACACATCCCTGAGCATTTTCTTCTCCAAAAGCAGTCAGAAGTTATCAGGTTGTTTCGACAGCAGCTGTAACAATCTTGTTATGAAATCCAGATCAACCACTAAAGCTTAGAAAATTGGCGTATTCATGGATTTTGGGGTGATTCGACCAGCAACCTGAAGGAAATGTCATGGCACTTTTCAACGCAGTTATAGATTTCCGGAAAACACCGCTTAGTGTTAATGGAATCGGAAATGGGAATTATGCGTTATTAGTAAGTGATTCAGTGTTGTATAGGCTCACGTAATTTAGTGAGTGTGATTGACGTGTGTGCTGCTGCATATCCGTAATATCCTTGTTTCTCCCGCTCTGAGTTATGTTCCCGTTTTCGCATCCCGGTTATGACATGTTCCAAATGATATACGATGGGTGATGGGAAGGGATTAGTGTCAGATATAAATTTTTGGTTCACATGGGTCTAGCTGGAACTCGAACCTTTTTTTTAAATAGTCAGGGTAAAAAGAAAATATTCTAAGCGATTTTATATCTCAAGCTATGTTTTCAAGAAATGACAACTTTGAGAGATGTGCGAGCCATGGCGCAACAATGGCGGCTTGATTGACAGGCCTGCTCATAATTGTTGCATATTGTAAACATTACCATTAATGATGGAGTCATCAGCCAGTTGACCTCGAAATTAATGTTATATGTTATGAAATTATGTTATAAAATTTGAAGATGAAGTGCTTCTAGTCAGCAGAACCAAGAAATCCTTGTTATGTTTATTGTTGCTCATTTGCAGGTGTATTACGTAGTCTGTGACGCAACAGTGGCGAAGTTTACCAAATATCCAGAGACGGTCACATCAAATTCTCGCGAGGAGATGGTTAAAGTTACAGGAAAGTGTGTAGCAAATGCAGTTCCGACGCAAAGTGGTAGGAATCAACAATAACATTTTTTCGAACACCAAATTTAATTTTATTCTTTATAGAGGCTCCCACTGGATTTTGTACTTCGTCCGGTCGTTGGAATCATCTGATAGGAGAATGTGCTTGTAAGCCTGGATTCACCATTAATGCTTTCAAGGAAGAAGAAAAGTGTGTTGGTAAGCGCTTTAGTTTACTTTGTTGTTTCTTGGGTTCTCAATTAACATCTCTTCATCCTATTAGATTTTCGTGGTATACTTTCCATGTTCTATCTCTAAGTTAGGGAAGA